TGATGATGGCAGTGGTTTTTCACACCTACACAGTTAGTTAGACAGAAGTGTGTGTGCGCGCGCGTGTGTGTGTGTGTTTGCCTTGTTTTCACACTTACTGTCAAATTTGGTAGAGAACGACTCTGTTTACCTGCAGCCCTGATCATAGGCCCTGAAAATGGATTTGTATGAACTCTCAGTCATTCCAATATTTTTCTCAGCTCCACTAAAACAAGATGAAAGTCTGCACTATAATCACATCTTGGCAAACATCTTGACAAAAAGGAACGAGGACGAAAAGATAATGTTCTCGCAATGGTCAACACACAGTACTGTGTAAAAGCCTTAAGCCAGCCTAAAAGGCTTTATTCCCTTATTTCCTAGGACTCAAAGTTTTAGTCTAGCCTTTGACCTTTGTGAGGAGTTGTGCTTTCTGAGTGCTCTTCTTATTTTTAAAGTGTTATTGACCTCCAGGGTTAGGGTTAGGGTTAGATCTCAGATCTCCAGGCTTTCTGAAGGTCTTTCAGAATTTACCTTTGGCTGCTTTTTCACTTACTTCAGTCCAGTCCTTGTGCCTGAGCATTTTCTTGTTTGTTAAATCACCTAACACTGACCTCTGTATCATTTAAGCATTAAAAATGTGCTTAACTCAAAGGATGAATCATCATTGTGGAGGACAAAAGAAAATTCCAGATTACATAAGAAGTGGGTCAGATCATTTCATGTATCAGTGTGGAGGATGTCAGGAGAGAGGTGCAGCGTCTACAGACATCCGTGAAACACAGTGGATCCTTGATTATGGTCTGAGGCTTAATTTAAGCCAGTGCTGTTGGAATCTTGTCAAAATTGATGGCATTATCAGTGCAGAATACCATTGGATTGTGATGCATCATGCAATAACATCCGGGGTTGTTCTATAGTGTAGTGGTTTATACATTTACCTAACAAGCAAAATATTGCTGGTTCAATCCCTTAAGGCAGGGGTGTCCAACTCCAGGCCTCAAGGGCCAGTGTCCTGCAGGTTTTAGATATCACCCTGGGTCAACACACCTGAATCAAATGATTAGTTCATTACCAGGCCTCTAGAGGACTTTAAGACATGTTGAGGAGGTCATTTAGCCATTTAAATGAGCTGTGTTGGATCAAGGACATATCTAAAATCTGCAGGACACCGGTCCTCGAGGCCTGGAGTTCGACACCTGTGCTTTAAGGAGTCATGAATCCCTTTATGGCAGGGGTGGGCAACTCCAGGCCTCGAGGGCCAGTGTCCTGCAGGTTTTAGATGTGTCGTTGATCCAACACAGCTGATTCAAACGGCAAAATGACCTCCTCAATATATCTTTATTATTGTGAATCCAATTAATGGCTGCAAGAGAAATTAGGAACAGGAAAAGGAAAGAGTTGTATGGATGTATTTTGATCACTGATGAATGTTCTAATCTTCGGCCATAACATAATTTAGCAATTTGCAACACCAAGCACAAGACTGTGCCTAATTACTCTGCTGGTTAATGTGTTTAAAAAAAAAAAAAAAAACCACCAAACCAAAAAACAACTTTTACTTTTAGATACTGGATGCTACATTGTTTTCTGTATGTCCATGGAAATATTTATACTGATATAAAAGAAATGACAGTTTCTAAACATCTGTAGCATCTTTTACCTTCCAAAAAAGATCTATTGTGCAAGAGTTATAGGTCTAACACAGAGTGCTGGGCTATTTCCTTTAATATAACTTCTCTAATATCTCTGACAAACTACATAAAGACTCAAAACAGAACTCACAGAAGGAAGTAGTTGTTCTTTGTTTGGGTTTTTTGTTGTTGTTTTTTACTTAAAGTGAGAGTTACTTGATATGTTGTCAGTAGCGAGTTCATCAACAGGCAAGCATTCAATAAAGCTCCACAAGTTCAAATGGCAGAGACCAGCAGACAGAGTAGCATTAAGTAAGGTGTCCTCTAGCCAGTAGCTCAGGTCTGTCCCAGCTGACAGTGGGCAACAGCAGAGGTGAAGTCTGGACAGGCAACCAGTTAATCACGAGCAATTTGTAAAAGCAGTGGTAGTTAAGAAGAAAAAGACAGAACTGGGCCAGAAAATTATTATTATTAAAGAGTCAATTATTTATTTTTAATTCCAAATGAAATTCCAATGATAGCTCAACCATAAGACTCTTTTAGTTGGTGCATCGAGGGAAAGCCAAACATTTATATACAGTTACAAATCAGTTGCATATATAACTCATAGATTGTGTTTAAATTAATTGTACTTTCAGAATCGACCATATTATGTTATTTATTTTAAAAGTGTTATTTCACACAGTATGTAAGGAAGACTTGGCAACTTGTAAAGCTTAGAAGAAATGAAGAAGAGACAAGAAAAAGTTTCACACTCTTGTATTTTTGTGGTGTTTATTTTGGAGGATAACACATAACACAAAGCAAAGAGACATTACACAATCAAAGGACTTTTCAGATGGTTGTTTCAGGCTAATAACGAGCTTTGGATCAGTTGAGACAGAGTTGCACTAATTACAAAAATCATAAAGGTACATTGGATATGATATTATCAGATAAAGCAGAACAAAATGAAATGATGAGCAGGCAGCTGGTTTAAAAGGAGCTCTCGTCCAGCGTTTTCATGATGCTATCGACCCAGGAGAGAGACGGATCCATACAGACTGAACGAGCCTTTTTGGTAATGAAGCTGAAACAAAGAGGTGGAAATGCTGCTGTCATTGTGTGTTGTTGTTTTTTTAAACAAAAAAGTAAAAATAACTAATAGCTACAAAACAAACACAGCTACTGGGTAATATTAGGAGACAAAACTAAAAGAACAAATATGAGTTCAAATAAAAAGTAAACGTAGAAGATGTCCTGTGTAAAATAGAAAAAATGAAAATGTCCAAAAACTGTCCAGTTACAATGGTCATACTGGATATTTTTCATTACAGTAATTTCAGTTATTGTGTTAAACATTATGAAAACAAAATAAACCCAGATTTCTTCACTTACATGGCGGCAGGCTTTGGGCATCGGGGATCAGTCATGTAATACGACTCCACGAGGTTTGGTCTAATCCTTCTTGGGTAAAACTTGAAGCAGCAGTTGTCGGGGCCATTTCCAGCTGAGGAAAAAAGCATTAGAACATGTTTCATTAGACTTACTCAAAAAACCTCTCCAATAATGATGACATTAAAGGTAATCTTACTGTTGCAGTTAACTGCAGACAACAAAGCAGCTCCAAGGATGCACAGCAAAAGGATGTGAGTGGTCTTCATTATGATTCCTCAGGAGTTGATGGTGATGAAGAAGAAGATTAAGACAACAGCTGTTCTTGAGACGCAAGCAAAGACTTCTAAATAATAGGTGGTGTGCTGTTACATTTATCAAGATCAATATTTTGAAGAAAAAAAAAAAAAGGTGCATATGGTGTCATTGGTGTGAAAGAGGGAGGGTGGTTGTGGTTTCAAAAGGTACTGAAAATGCCTCTGACAGAACTTTCCACTCGGTTACATTGAGAGGAAATGAAGCAGTGGTCTAGCCCAGAGATGCAGCTCAAAGCATGACACTGTTAACAAAACCAACTTCTACAACACCCCCCCCCAAAAGTTTTAAAAAATATATGTCACAAAATATAATGACCACAAAAACATTAGAAATAGCCAACAGTGATGTTCGGGGGGGTTGTTTTTCTAATGTAATGAGACATGTTCTGCTGGCCAGAGTAACATTTCAAAATCAACAAATCTATTTGAACAATGTGTGTTATCATTTTTTTTCCTGCTACATATAATCATGTGCTGTACCACAACAGTCCTTGCGATTGCTTTGGTTGCGGGTTGCTGCAGTCATCTGTTGTTTTCATGAAAGACACAACTTAACCAACTTAACTGTTAAACTAACTTAACTGTCTTAATAACTGAGCACTATTAAAACTTGAAAGTGTGACACAAACCAGAATGTTAACATTCACACTATATGTTGTGCTTCAGCAATGCAGCACATTGCATTTTTTACTTTGCAAAGCGATCGAGGATTTTGCTAACCAGTCGGAAATACACATTTATTCCTGAATATTCTCGGGCTTTAACAAGCACTTAAACAGTGATTGGCATCAGCCTCCACTAACCACCAGCCAACTGGTTGGGAAATATTCTTTTTTTTTTTGTGTTGCCAAAAGGTGATCAATCTCTAGACCTGTTCATACGATTGTCAAATCATTTAAACGTCACATGGTCAGTGTGTGGTCATATGACCCTATCGTGGTCATAGTGTTTATAGGAAAATGGCCGCGGATCTGATCTTAGCAAGAACCTTTTTGATTCATGCATTTTTGTTTTTGTTTTGTTTTATATATCAGCTGTAAAACAAATCAGTGATTGTTTGTAGCAGCTGTACTTCCTGAGGCACGAGCCATAATATGGAAATGATTAAATTACAAAACCATAGTCTTAGAAATAGTCACGAAATATTCACATAGAAACAAATATAACAAAAAAAATGCCATGGGGTTTAAATTATATACATATATATGTTGGAGAATTAAGCTGACTAATAGATGCAGATTTTAGATGAAGACACAAAACTTCACTCTCTGCTCATATGACGATCAGATCTGTGATTAAAGGCTTTTGTGGACTCCAGGAGATTTTCACATTTAAAACTGGGCCACTGTTGTCTGACGTAGGAGGTCTGCTTTGGAGAACCCCATTTGATATTTATGTAATATGTTCACTAATCAGTGGTTTATCACCACTCATCGAGAATCAAAGCAGAAGTGCGGATCACTCAATACTAACATATAGATTTTATCTCAGGTAAAAGTGTGGCAACCTTTTCACAAGAAAGTGTAAATACACCACAACGCTTTGCTGCAGCAATGACTGTTGCACTAACCACATAAGCCATCGTGTTCTCACTCCGGTTAGGCTCAAAGGCACTCTGGGAAATTCACTTCCACATGTTGATCTATACAAGGCAGGAGGAGAGTTGTAATCCAGTAAGAAACAAACTAGCTCCAGGTTGAATATGTACATCTTTTTATTATAATAAAACCATCATTTATATACATTTCAAGTGAGAAACAGTTGCGCGGTGACCTTCTGCTGTCTCCATGTATATCTATCAGTCCTCTACAGTACACAGGTCTCTTGGAAAAAAAGGAATACAAGTCAGACAATGCAAAACAACTGAGAACACCCAGCAAATCAACATGATTATCAAGCAATGGTACATCGTCTAAAATATCTTTCAACCCAATTTAGTTTGAATGTTCTTTTTGACCACAAAGGATCAAAAGGTAGTGTTGACAGGTAGAGCTGATACCCAGGCCAGCTTTAAATGTAACAATTAACTGGTAACTAACAGGTCTAATTGTGAAGATACCACTTAACCACACAAACAAGACGTACACATACAGACACACACTACAGTTTGCAAACAGCTACCTAAAAAGGTGGAGGAATAACACAAAAATCAACAACCCGTTTTAAACCACGAGACGATCAGAGGCACAACTCAAAGGCTTGCACGTATGGCTTGCAAAAAGCTTTAACTGCAGTCCTGCAGTGTTTCACCACAGTGGGGGAGGGGGTGCATTTAGAAGAATGATCAGACATAGTATTGCACGGTGCTGAGTCAAAAACACAGCAGGCGCCCTTTTAGCGGCCATGTGGCTGAGACGATGATGAATCACAAAATGAAAGGAGTCTTCCTGTTTTTAAAGCCCAGACTGAACGTTCTACTTCAGCTAATGTCCAGAGATTTAAGAAAGCACAGCCTCAGCTGAGGGTTAAGAGATTGAGAGTTCACTAATATTACAGGAAAGACAGACTGGAACTCCATCACACGCAAATTCAGCAGAACAACAGCACGTGAAGCAGTTTCACAAGGAACGACGAGACATTTCCTCATACATCTGCCTTTTATTCCTCTGATGAGGCTTGTGCACAATTGTCTTGTAAAGTCATCACTGTCACAAAACAGATCAGATTATCAAGAAATGCAGCGTGTTGACTTTGCACAGTGTATCCAATCAACGTAGCGCTGGCTCCGCCCACTACTGGTGAGGATGGAGTGACACAATAACCACAATGTGAATGCAGTGACAAGGCCTCAACACTCAGTGACAACCTCAACTTTAAGCAGCCACAATACCCTGACACACGCAGCAGTTAGCAGATATAGGCCAGATCTCTCTCCACTATGCAACTGTGACACAAAAGACAACACAATCTGTGCCATCTCATGATCAAAAACTAAAAGTAGAGATTTGCAGGCTGTGTAACGCTCAATATCCAACAATCAGATTCCTTCTTCCAACTTTGTGTAGGGCTCTAACTGAATATTGCTTCTATTATCAAATAATCAGATCTGCTACCCTAATAAAAACTCTATAAAACAAGCAGTTTAAAGCCCCCACAAAACAAGAAAGCAGCAAATCTTTAAACCAAAGTAAGAAATCTCTGTTATACTGCACTTTGCTCCAGAGCGGAGGATTTCAAACTGTGAGGGGCACCACAACATGACGGGTAAGATGGTTACAGTGATGCTGCAGGCTAGTAATCTGACCAACAGTCAATAACTACAGCTGCAACACAGCTAATGCAATTAATTAAAGGCTATCTATGCAGGATTTTAAACTTGAAATAATCTCTCTGATCATTAAATAGACTCTTTGTTATCTGCATGTGGAGGTCTGAGGGATCTTCCAGGAACGGTGAGGACATTTTCCAGAGAGCTGATTGTGTACATTTTTTTTTTTTGCACCGTATGTTGCGGTGTAGCTATTTAAACTTTATGCCCAAACCATTCATCCTTAATTTGTCATAAATTACCTGGAACCAAACCTGGGTTGTCCTGCTCTTTGACGAAAAGCCAAATTTGTACCTCGAGATGGTGCAGCGAGTCCAACAGGCACGTCACTACGAATGTACAACGACAGCCGGGGAAAAAGCCCAGCCACTTGATTAAAAAAAAGTGAAAGTTTTGGTTAAATTTCACAGATGGCAATTGAAAAAAATACTTTTAAGCCAAGGACGACAGACCCACGATGCAAACAGCAACAACAAAACTCCTGCATAGTGAGCCTCGAAAGTAAAAACCATCAACAGCTGACTGCACACTCCTCAGAGTCTCCACATCTTAATGCTTCAAAGTTAATTTCATTGGCCAGTGTGGTTAGTACTTTTGGATTGCTCCCTGGAAATCCTGCTTTGACCACACGCTGTGCACAGACCTCAAACCTGTGCATAGAGCAAAGATTAATTCAGCTTCAAACTGACCCAAATTTCTGTGGTTTGGATGGTTGGCTAAGCATGAGACTGTCAAAATGGAAGCTGCACTATATTCTGCTCTGATCTTGTACCGCTCAGAGCACACTGAATACACAGGTGTCTTCTGCCAAAACAAACACAATCATCAGTTATTTAGCTTTAAAGAGATCCTATCACAGATGTTTGTGGACAAGTAGAAACAGCCTTCTAGCTCTATAGTTTGTTTTTAATAAACTGGACTAGTACCTCACTAAGCCTGAGAACTCAGGGTCAAGACTCTGAAGCGCTCTGCTGCCAGGAATAACTAAAAAAAACATCAGGGAAACTGCCGGTGGGGACAGTGTACCAGGATGGATGCAAAGTCAAATAACTACAGTGGAAAGTTCTGAACCGTTCAGAGTATTTGAACTTTGTCGTTATCAGTGAAGTGATTGCTATATTCACGCAAATTATGCAGCCAAATGCGTGCAATGCCCCTCAAGTTACAGCCTGCTATCTAGAATGTGTTTAAAAAGAGATTAAAAGTGCTCCAAATGTGCAGAAGCTCAATGACAACCCTTCATTTGTCTGGACCAAATCCATCCTTTTCTTAAATATACTAAATAAATGAACAAAAGACTTCACACTCACACCAAGACGTCTGGAATCATAACAAAAACAAGCTAATTAATTAATTAATGCAAATTAATGTACCACAAATATATTAAATACAGGGGAAATCCACATCTAACACTTTACCTCCTTATTTATTCCAGTCTCGCTGACACAGGCAGCTTCTGACCTCTTTAATGAACGAAAACATTTCATTAACTGTAACGCGGTGCTCTCAAACGCACCACATGTTTTCTTATGTGCATTTGTGTCATACCTTCATGGATTGTAACCTACAAAACTCCCCCTGTTCAGACGAGTTGTCTTCATGGAACAGCTAAGGTGACAATTTGGCCCTGATTACAAGCTAATGAAAAGCAAACTCAGATCAAAAGGAAATAAAAACATGGAGGACACAAAGGAATGTGAGAAAAATTAAAGTGAGTGGAAAAAAGGTGCCGCTACGCAGAAGGAGACGCACAGAGACAGCTAGGAACCCCCTCACATATTTATGTCGTTTACAGATTTGACTACAGAGATGAACATTGCTGTAGACACATTTAAGCTTCATTTGCCAAATCAAACAAAGGATCTGAGAGCTGACAGCAGTGAAGGAGTTGATGTAGTATCTGATATCTCTGTGGTTTCCTTCAGTCTGTGGGGAGCTGAGTCAGTCGGGTAGGTTCATATATGTGGGAGTGTGTGTTACATTCTTCAGCCTTTCCCAGCTACAAGTTTCCAGTTTGCTGCTGGGCCTCTGAGCAGAGGAGGGGTGCTGGAAGTTAAATAAGGCCTCATATTCCTTTTTCACACCCCTGCTCAGTCACTGAGACCCCCTCCAGTGTTCTGGTTCCAGTCGGAGGAGTGGCATGCCTCTGGAGAAGAGCTTGATCACTGCAGCCTCAACTGGACGTGTCCCCAACCTGACAGAAGCTCTCTCTCAGGTCCATCAGCTTGGGCAAGAGTGTAGGCTTTTCCAAAGGCTGGAGGGGGTCTGATTGAGTACTTTAGCTTGAGCTAGTTATGTTCTGATCTCAGCTCAACGCTTCAGCACCGGGCAACCTCGCTCCCGATCTCTTCTGCTCTGTCAGCGCCTGCAAGACCTGAGGGGAGGAAGCAGGAGTGAAAAAAAAAAAGGTTTTCAAAACAAAGATGCAGTGATGGGCGTAAACAATGTTTTCAGGCACATATCTAGAAAAACATCCCACCTGTGCCCACTTCCTGTTGCGGCTGGTCATGTGAATAGCAGCAATGTGCTGGAAGAGCTGGTCAGCAGGGATGAGGTCAGGCAGGCGGGTGAGGAACTGAGCCATGTGGATGAAGTCCATGCTGGTCAGGACATCCTGGTAGAGGCGAAGCAATCCCAGAGCCGTGCGGAACAGGAACTCTTCACCATCTCTGCAGAACACATCCCACACTCGACACGCCAGGTCCAACGGCAGCGACTTGCTATACAGAGTGAAGATCCTGAAGGGACAAACCGATGGGAAGGAAAAGTTATTATCAGCAAGCACTATATAAAACAAAGTCACTAATAGCAACGGAAATTTGAAATGACCTTTGTTAACATATTAAAGAAACACATGTACTGAGAGTTACAGTTTCTTTGCTGAAATTTGACTTCATGTACCAACTTCTAAGATCTACCCTCATGTCCTGATAGATAAACAAAAGAAAGATACAGTATATAGTAACAACTACTCATCCGTCTTCCTTCAAAAACGCATATTCTTAAGTGACATCCCATTTTTATTCCATAAGATTTAATTTGATGTCTAAACCTTAGCAGATTTAACAGATTCAACTCTTCTTTTACATAAAGTTTAGGAAAGCATTTATTTTTGACCATTCTTCCAGAGGTGCACTGGGACATCCCCAAACTGTTCCCACAAAGCTGGAAGCATGAAATTATCCAAAATGTCTTGGTATCCTGAAACATCAAGAGTTCCTTTCACTGGAACAAAGGGGGCCCAACTTCTGTAAAACAACCCCACACCAAACTTTACACTTGACGTATAGCGCAGTAACACAAGTACCGTTCTCCTGGGAACCACCAAACCCAGACTCATCGTTTGGATTGCCAGACAGAACGTGATTGGTCACTCCAGAGAACACACTGCTCTAGAGTCCAGTGGCAGTGTGCTTTACACCAGCGGTCCCCAACCTTTTTTGCGCCATGGACCGGTTTATGCCTGACCTTATTTTCACGGACCAGCCTTTAAGGTGTCGCGGATAAATACAACAAAATAAAACTAGTACCGGTACCGAAAAAAAGAAGATATATTAATAACACACGTGAAAAGACCCAGGAAAACAGAGTAAACGATAAAAACGCTAACAAAATAACGCTGAAAACCAATAAAAACCCTGAAAACCATAAATTTCACAACTGAGCCTCAACTCTCACAGTACTGGACCAGTACCGGTCTGAGGCCCGGGGGTTGGGGACCGCTGCTTTACACCACTGCATCCCACGCTTTGCACTGTGCCTGGTGATGTAAGGATTCAGCTGCTCAGCCATGGAAACCCAGTCCATGAAGCTGAAGTTGTTGACGTTTGCACAAAATGCACCTCAGCATCCACTGTGATTTTACAAGGCCTACCACTTCTGTCAGTTCCCAGTTGCTTTGTTATAATTCCACTAACAGCTGACTGGAATATGTAGTAGTGAGGAAATGTCTGGACTGGTAGCACAGGTGCATCCTAGCTTGAATTCACTGAGCTCCTGAGAGCGACCCATCCTTTCACAAATATTTGCAGAATTACTCCGCATGCAAATAAAATGCTAATAAAACAAAACAAAACAAAACACTTTTTAAAAGAAAAAAGGCTCCTTTCTACGTTGTTACAAGCTTCAAGAGATTTAGAAGCGAGCTGACTACCACCTGCTCTCTTAATAAAACTAAATGGCTGTTTTAGGTGTAATTACAAACAAACAAAAAAACAACACAATAATTCACAATATTAAAGTCAGAAGTCTGTGAATAAAAATAAATGATTGATATTATTGCCCTAGTTATGTGGCATATATGTGGTTAAAGTGAGGATACGAACACAAATTTCTACCTCAAATGGGCAGTGACCACTCATACAACCCCTTTCCTGTTTTCTCAGAAACACACCTGACACTGAAAGTATGACAAACTGAATGTGAGGCAAGTGTCATGTTTCGAGATGAAGGCATGTAGCGTGTTTTCAGCAAGACGGGGTACAAAGTGCACTGTGCATGTGGGTGGAGAACGAATCGGTAGAGCTTTGCTGCATCTGTGAAAGTTCACTGTTAAAACAAAACAGGAGATATAAAATAAAACGAGGCAACAGCACAACACAGGGAAGCACTCACCAGTCAATTAAATAAATATCAGGTGTCAAGTTGTTTTTCTTGAAATGTGCAAATAGCTTTGGTAGATTTTCTTCAAAGAACACTTCAAATGCTGCAAAGTACGTCAACATCTGCGGAGAGGAGAGGAGGTGGTCTTAGAGAGAATTAAACCCAAACCACAGTTTGCTGAGTGAGTCAGAAACAAATGACAGACACTTTGGTTTGAATGGAGACAAGTGTGTAAACACAGTAGAGATGATGATGGGACAGTAACATTACCAAGTTTATAAATGTGGTTAGAAATAACAGCACTAGCACTGCTAAATTCAGTAAAACAGGTGATGCAATTTACTGACGTATTAGGTATTACTGATAAATGTTTTAAATCAAACAGATTTTTTTTTTTAAACCGTTAAGTTCTCAACTTTACAGCTGAACAAAGAGCTTGGCGGAAAAAGGTGATTTGCAGTCAACACATATGTATACATATATGTTTATTTAAAAAAAAGCTCAGAGTCATGTGTATTTATAGGTATTGCGTGAGAAATAAGTGGGCGCGCACGTGTTTGCTATGCTCTTTGTTTACTTACAAGGCTGTGGTCAACCCTGAAAAAGGCCATCTGACAGGGCTTGTTGAGCAGGTTGGCAAAAGCTATGAAGGCATCGGCTGTGTCCAGGTTCAGGATGAGCACAGCGGCGATGAAGGACATTCCCTGCACCTTAAAAACACACAAACACACAGAGTCAGTACAAGCGAATACTTACAGCAACCCTAAAACAGGTGACAGTGTGAGCTTGTACATGCCAAATGTTTTAATATTTAGACAGAAACACTGGCAGGAAGTCATTAACGGCTAACGTTGCATTTGAGTCAGACACTATTAATCGGTGCAGGCGCTTTGACAGTGATGCGCAAGTATTACAAGTAGTGTGGACAATAAATCTGGGGAGAGAGATAAAATGCTGATGTAGAAATGGAAAGAATTAAACCTGCGTACAGCTTACACAGACTCTGAGAGTGTGTGTGTGTAGCTGTTCATGGGTTGGGGTCAAATGCAGGAAGTCACAGTCATTTCTACCTGTCTATAGACAAAAGCATGGGGCTGCGGGTAGGAGCAGCAAGGCAAACCACAGCATCTACAAGCACTGCTCATTAGTGCAAATGCAGCAATTTTGCTGTAAGAGCACACAGTGAAGATACTGAGACACAGTTGGTCTGGTCCATTACAACTGACAACATAAACAAAATGTAGCGGGTGACTTTTTAAAAATACTGCTTTGCTACCAGCGATCATTGCTTCTTTAGCCCAAATATTCACTGGGTTCACACTTGTACTGTATATGTGCAGATTGTTTGCTAATGCTCCTGCGCACGTCCTGTAAATTCAATGTTTGGAGGTTTGGATGATTTAATGAATAAAGTAATCAATCTGAATACATCCCCCTATAGGTTTTTGGTTTGTTTGTTTGATATTTTAACAGGCCAACAGTGAATGAACAAAAAATACATTTTATTAAATAATACTTAAAAAAAAATTCAGTTTGATTTCTAGGAATCAAGTAAACCATGGTGAGAAACTAGAGTCGGAAATCCAGGGCGTCACTGAGGCTCAATACAAAGTCTCCTTGAAAGGAAGAAAAGAGCGAATGGAAGGAAAATATTTGAGGTCTTCTAACTTTAAAATGGAACCTACATGCTGCAGAAACCCCCTGACCAATCTCCTGGGCACGGTATTTTAGGGTTAGTGAACGTCACACAGAAATGATCTTTTGACTGGTTGCTGGTGATGAGGCACAAAAAAACCCCCAAAAAACAAAACACCGCAAACAAATGTGAATCTGTTGCTTAGAGAATTCTAGAAATTACTCTGAGCACATCACCTGTTAAACACACTAATGCCAATCATAAATCTCTTTTCTACAGTTGGCTAGCCCCACATTCTGTAAATAGCATCCTACATTTTACTCATCATAGTTTGCAAAAAGGAACACAAGTGAGTCAAGCAGAAATATGAAACTTAAAAAGAAATGCATACATATGGATGTATCCCAACTAGGGCTGTGCGATATGACCAAAATCTCATATCTCATAAGAATTCTATCGTCCGATAACGATATAAATCACAAAAATTTAACATTTTCTGTAAATTCTGTGAATCTCGGGCAGCTCGACCTGCGTGAAGTGTTTCCAGCTGTGCGTCCTTTACCTGGAGTCGAGCGTTTTAACCGATGCATGAAACTATACATTTTTAGACATAAATTGTAACAGCCGCCGTTTTCTTTGTATTTATTACACGGCGTGCTGTGGGGAAAAGCCTGTTCTATTGTTTGAGTCTAAGGTTTATTTTTTAGCACCTGGCGGCTCTTTTTTACCTCTCATCCGTAAACACTCTGCATCCTTCACGTGATTCAGTTTATTTTGAAAAGTCTCAACAGGATCTTGAGCTTTATTGTGAAAGGTTTATGTGAAACATAAACACGCGAAGGTGTTACCGTCGTTGTTGCTAACCACAACGCATAAAAACAGGCGCTTGTCCGTCTGTAGTGTGGTTATATTAAATATAAGAGAAAAAGAGAACTTTAAGAAATTAATATAGCCACTACAGCGACCATCAAAACGATGAAAAAAATATTGCCGTAAACAGTTTATTTTGCGACACCACGAAACAAACGATAGCGTAAAATGAAACAGATGTTTTTATATCGTCATCCGATATATATCGTTATATTGAACAACCCTAACCCCAACTGAAACCCAAAAAAGATCGCAAACAGAAAACCAGATCAAAGGAGACTTAACTACATTTGCCCTTCATATGATTAATACCAAACACGCAGAGTTATCCTTTTAGATCAGCTCTCAGCATCAGTAACAAATGTATCTACTGGAAATCCGAAGCACCTTTATTTACACTAAAAACAAACCTATGGCATAATGTAATAAATCTGAAAATGCATCATTTTCCTCATACAGAGCTTTAGTTGGGTGGAAACGCTCACACAGATTGCTAACAGGACCAGCCTCTATATGAATCTGATGATTTCATTAAAATAAAAGCCTGTGTATGTGTCGTGTTTTATAATGTTAGACCACATCTATTAATATTCCATTGAGGGGAGTGACTATTCATGTGGTACTACTACCACACCAAAGCTTATATAACTGTAATTCATGTGCAATATATTCCTTACTTAAAATCAATTAGCAGTTTTTGGAAGGTTTTTGAGGAAAAAATACTGGAGAATATGATGGAGCTAAAGAAGGTTATGCACAACTGTTTTATAATTGATATGAAAAAGACAAAATGCATGAAATCAAGCCAATGAGTATGAAGTGCTTTAATATCAGGACACCTAGTGAAATATCAGTGCTTGAAAGAAATACTAAGTGCCAAGGGTAAGAAGATAAAGATGGCACAGCAGGTAAAGCATTTATTTACTTAATAAGAAGGAATCGGGCGTAAATATTCTATTATTTCTGGCAGGATTTTGTTTTTCAGACTGATGAAATATTTGAGAACTGCACTCACAGACAGTCATACCATCTGTCTGTCTTCTTATTCATTTGGTGACTTTGAGGTAAATTACCGTGCTTTCCCCTTTTTGCTGCACTTACATTGAGCCCAGGTATTGAACTGTATCACACACACACCGGCATAGAAAATGTTGCTGACTTCATATTCAGTACCCACTCAGCTCCTCGCATGCGGCAGCAACCTCCCACTTGGTGCAAATCGAATCGTCTTATTTTAAGCTAATATTAGGCTACTGTAGGTGTTGTGTGGGAGATCAAAGTCTGTTTAACCTTCATAATACACAATGAGCTGCAAGGTGCAATATCACTTAAAATTTCCAAGAACAGTCACTTTAGTTTCAAGAAGACAAAGCCGTGGAGCGACTCCAAGGGAACAAGACTTATATTTGTGGTGTAAAAATGACCCGTTTTATCTACTACCTGAACAAATGTATTAAACAGAAATTGTTTTATTAGTTCATTTGTTAAATAAGAGCATATAGATGAATAAACTCTTTATGGTCTTTAATCTAAAAATCAATCTAAATTTCAGCACCAGTAGATGCAAGAATCTCATGACTAAACAATATTTTCTATACTTGAGATATTCACGTGGCACTTTGTGTTTTTGTCCTAAACATGAAGCTGTAACATGCACCAGTCACAGGTGTGAGTATCACAACATGATGTAATATTGGTTAAGCATGTGTGACTTACATAGCCAACATCAGGCCTGTAACAAGTGTATGCTCCCAGAATGCTGTGCAGCACGTCGTGATAGGGCCCACCCTGATGACGTACAAAGAAAAACAAAACAATGGAACAATGAGTCCAAAAACGCACAATGTACACACACCTTTTTAAATTTACAAGCTTTCAAAACCTGTTTCAATCATACAAATATTGTTTTACAAAAATAAGCAAGACGTTCCTTTCACGTCTTGCTCAGTTTAGTCGTGTTTTGCTTCGGTGCATCCTATTACCCACATCCCGCTGAAACTTTATTCTAATTCTCTCTCACTGACCTTCTGGAAGATGCACAGTTGTGGGAAAGTTCTTGAGATGTCCAGCTTGATGAGCTCCAGACTTGACTCTCTGTCTGAGGAACCAACATCTGCAAGACATTTCAGCACATTAAAAAACAAACTGGAAAAATATGAGTATGAAGTTATTATAAAATTAAAGCAGTTTCTTTAGAAACTCCACCTTCACTTTCAGTCTCGGTGAAGAGTGCCGCTGTGCTCTTCCACTTCTCCTTGGCCCGGGACAGACAGATGTTATACAACTCTGCACAGACACACAAACAGCAGCACAGTGAAGTTAATGTGAGAGATTGGAGGGACGCACAAGTTTGAAGACGGTGAAATGTGAACATGATAAATGGACAGAAAGCACTCAGCTTTATGGTGCTCTGCATCAGCAAACAGTGAAGGTGACTGAAGAAAACAAGTCCCCCAACTACAGAAGACTACGACTGCACTGCTGTGCAGCCTGTTACAGCCTTTCCTTTGAACTGCTGCTGCCCTCTGGTGCTCAGATGCTGGATTTAATATTGAGCGTTCAGAGAGGAGACGTGGAGATTCACACTAGTGCTCGAGTCAAATCTGAACTACAACAAGCTGCTTGAAGGATGAAGAGGTTAAGCTGATGATCAGTTAGCCTGTGGTATGCAGCTCGTTAAAGACAGATTGATTGATGCTAGGACTTTAAGCAGCCTGTCGGGTGATTGGTCTAATAGAGATGGGAACCGATTAGTGAAGTTAACTCAGAGTTTTAAAACAGCTGATATTTATTTAAAGCTGCTGTAAATAATTGCACGTTATGACAAGTGAACAATTTCTCTAATCATTAAAGACAGATTATTACTCTGCTATATTACTCATCTGCAAGCCAGTCAGACATATTAGTAGTAGCATTAGCATCAATAATAAAAATGCTTCTGTGAAAGTGAGGGAGTGCTGTTACTGAGCTGCCCATGAAATGACGCACTACTTTAAAGGGACTGAAAACTCCCCGAGTGTGTGTGTGTGTGACTGCAGTGTGTGTTTTGGTGTGCAGGATAGTGTAGCTCCAGTTAAAACGATGAATAGCACAAAGTGGAGCAGACCAGCTCAGCATTCAGAGAGAGTGCTTATCTGCAAGCAGCCTTGAGGGTGCTGAGGAGCACGCACGCACACATTTGAGCATGCATGCACACAAACACACAGTCTAAGGAATGAAAATTTCAGTTTGCACTCCATTCTCAAGAGGAAGATGAGTGTAGTGTGTGTGTGTGACGTCTGTGCAGGATGAGCGAAGTCATTGAAATGCTGCACATTCTCTCGTGTACTGGGGGAATTATTGGACCGTGCTCCTTAATGGACACGCTCTTCCTTCCTCTTCCACCCATCTCACTGCCACACATTCAACTATAAACACTGAGACAAATTGGTGCACCCATCTGCGTGTGTGTGTGTGCTTTTATTACTTATTTTGTGGGGATGTGTGTTTTTGCAATCACCCAATGAGAAGAACACCAACTTTTGAGGATCAAAACACTCGCATTAAAGAAACTGTTACATTCTAAGTTTCAGACATAATTCAGGGCTAGTTTAAGTTAACCCAGCTGGCAGTTTTTAGGTTAAGGTTTGGCCTGCTAACAGACCTTTTAACTTGAGAAAACACACACACTCATTCCCACGTACCGTGTGTTATGTTGAGATCGTTGCCCACAGCCAGGCTCCACACTTTCCCTCTGACACTGGGGGGGATGCCCTGCCACCAGAGGTCCCTCACTCGTCGAGATGTACACCTGTAGCAGTGGGGGATTAGAGGGGAAAAAATGTTAAGCACATCAGAGTCTATGATAAAAATGTTTTATAGAACGGGCCATGGGTTAACAATAACCTAATTGGAAAACCACTGATTCGAAAGCAAGAAAAACACTTTCCTTCAGTCTAACACGATCTATACTGTCTTCTGTTTGTATTGTTGTAGTAATAAAGATACAATAGACTAAAGGAACGATCTGGCAGCAGTACTGTAGCGATGTTTGGTAGTGTGAAGTGAATTAGTCACATATTAATCCAAGGAGTACACCTGCAGCAGGAGCCTGGTACTATTATGAAGATTACCTGAGATGACCACACTGGTTTGAACGCGTTTTGCCAGCTTAACCGCCACAACAAGTTATGTCTTGTTATATTCTTATGTCTGCATACTGCATTTCCGCCCTGCAGTGCTGGCCAACAGCAGCAGTGCACTAAATGCTCCCAAGTAGTATCAAATATTGAAGATTCAGTAAACTTTTAAGCAGGCAGAGAAGTAAAACTGTCTATGTGGTAATAAAGGAACAGTGAGTTGAATTTGTTGGTCATTATTTTCTCTGACTTGTACTTTTTTGTTTTTTATTAAAAATTCAAGTCCAAAGTCAACAACACTATTGCGTGTTCTTCCAACATGTACACTCCTATAGTCAGGCTTTTTTCAGGGTCAAATTCAAGCATTTAAGCACCTGTAAAAACTCTGAATACTGTACATGTTGACCAAGAAATACTGCACATTGAGCATGTTGCACATTTTATGGCCAGGGCAAATTCTGCATTAAACTGAGAATAAAACTGCAGTAATGCTCCATGTAATCCCCCCAGTGTAACATGCAGTGAGGACCAACATCAGGCTTAACCTTCATAGCAGGCTAAACAAATGCTAAACACTAGGGCTGCACGATTTTGCATAAAATGAGAATCACGATTTTTTTGCTTAGAATTGAGATCACGATTCTCTCACGA